ACAAACTGAAGCCTCCAAAATGAAAATAACATTTAATCATCAAATCTCAAAGTGTGTGAACAATGAACATTATAATCTTAACAGTTTGATCAGACTGCATTAAATGGCATCCTTTCAATTGGTGTTTTCTCTTGCATTGTATTACTATCTTTTTTACGGACACATTTGTGGAGTCAGTACACGCGTACAATAATTATTTTGCATTGAAGATTTGTTGAATCATTTCTTATGATCAGTTTGGATTACTCAAAGCAGATAAAAGCAACAGGTCCAAGTTATGTTCATTGGAAGCCGGTCACATGTAGCTACAGACTGCCTGAGTATTAATTCATCAGTCAATTTGTAATTTTAAAACATAATCACAGTTTATTCGCAGTTAAAGTAGCCACATTTTGATTTGTTTTAAAAATATAATTGTCTTGTGTCTGAAAGATAGATACAGAGATAAGACATACTGTATATTCAAAGCATTCACATAGAATCAGACAGTCATGTTACGTAATGAGCTGCTGATTACTAAAACCTCAAAAAGAAGCCAACGCATTCCAGCGTGTGCATTAACAAATCATTATTACATTACATTGCATTTAGCTGACGCTTTTATCCAAAGCGACTTACAATAAGTGCGTTCGACCAAGAAGATACAAACTTGAAGAAAACAGAATCATATAAGTACATCAGGTTTCATAGAGCCAAACATTTCAAGTGCTACTCAACTGGCTTTAGATAAGCCAGTCCTTTGTTAGTATATAAGTGCTTTGTTAGTCATTATATCGCTCGAAGTGGAGTCGAAAGAGATGAGTTTTCAGTCTGCGCCAGAAGATTTTTATGCTTTTTGCTGTCCTGATGTCAATGGGGAGCTCATTCCACCATTTTGAAGCCAGGATAGCAAACCCACGTGTTTTCGCCGATGGGAACTTGGGTCCCCCTCGTAGTGCGGGTGCAGCGAGTCGTTTGGCTGATGCAGAGCAGAGTGCACGTGCTGGGGTGTACGGTTTAACCATGTCCTGGATGTAGGAAGGGCCAGATCCATTCACAGCATGGTAAGCAAGTACCAGTGTCTTGAAGTGGATTCTAGCAGTTACCGGAAGCCAGTGAAGGGAGCGGAGGAGCGGAGTGGTGTGGGAGAATTTAGGAAGGTTGAAGACCAGACGAGCCGCTGCATTCTGGATGAGCTGCAGAGGTCGGATGGCACATGCAGGTAGACCAGCCAGGAGGGAGTTGCAGTAGTCTAGGCGTGAGAAGACGAGAGCCTGGACCAGAAGTTGCGTCGCTTTCTGGGTCAGGAGGGGACGTATCCTCCTGATGTTGTAAAGAGTGTATCTGCAGCAGCGGGTTGTGGCAGCGATGTTTGCTGTGAAGGACAGGTTGTTATCTGTCACACCCAGATTCCTTGCAGTCTGAGTCGGGGAAACAACTGAGATGCCGATGTTGATTGTCAGGTCAAGAGTGGGACAATCTTTTCCCGGAAGGAAAAGCAGTTCAGTCTTGTCATGGTTGAGCTTGAGGTGGTGAGCAGACATCCACTGAGAGATGTCTGCTAATGATACGTCCAGCTGAGCTTCATATAATTGGTGAATCCTAATACTGTTTAATAAAGATGGCCAAATATTTCTACAATTCTGAAAGAGTTATCACTTTCCATTTTGCACATTTCACAGCCTAGTGTTTTTGTTAGAGACAGGCAGTATTTGTATCCAACTTGGTAGACGAGAGACAACAAGCTCCAGTTTTACTGGCCTTCAAACAAGAGATATCATTTGAGGTTTTATCATTAATTTAACATTCTCTCACTTGGGATCAACCACATTTCTCTCTTCAAATTCTACAGTATGTTTAACGATATCATGAGCTGAACTTCTTACAGCTCTATACTCTCCTTCACATGTATGCAGAAACACAGACACACACATGCACACAGTTAGGGTCCCTGCAATTCTATTTGAATGGAGAACTTTTTGTTTCTAACCCTATTAAGAGTGCCACAATCTTCCTCTTTGGGCTTGTGTTGTATTTTGAGGCGTCATTTCAGTCTTCAAAAGTGCTTATTCACGGATCACGTCATCCAAAGTTTGTATTATGACAAAAAGGAGGCACATTCTATCATTCGAGTACATCAAATAAGTATTTGGTTGAATACAGTTGCATTTTACAGTTTTTCCATCTTTAGAAACATTCAGTCTTCTTCATTTACCTTTTCAGTTTTCCTATAGAAAGCTGGAAAGGATGGAGATCAGATGGTTGATATGTCAATTCAAGTGAATGAACCAGAACTTAAACCAGATTGACAATTTGGGGGATGGTTTGTTTGATAAATAAACCAAACAATGACCTTCGTTGGATGGTGTTATAAAAGATGTTGTCTGTGAAGGTAACAGGTGTATTTATGGCTTTCTGCCCACACTGAAACTATAATGAAGGTTAATTCATTATGCACTCCTACACACTATGTCAGTGACCTCTGCCATTCATGTCTGTGTGCAATTATGAGAACAAGGAGGCCTCCTCGGAGAATGTGTAACCAAGATAAATGATGTATCTGTTTAATACAATCTTTTTATTCAAGAATTTAATAATCCTATAATAATACAAATGTAGTAGTATTTTTAAATGAATGTGTTTCTACAACACAACACTCTTTAACCGCCTTTTCAAGTACATATGACGGAAAACATTCTCGATTAGCAAAGGCAGGAACCAGGGTAATATCTGGAACAGCATGTCACACACATGATGTAACCGTCACAGAGCAATAACACACACACACACACACACACACACACACACACACACACACACACACACACTGGTCTTATAAAACATCACCTTCCTTGCTCAAAGCTACATTGGAGTGTTCCTTCATCTGTTCCATGAACCTGATAATTGTGGATTCACCCCCACTGGCATGTCACTGCAAATTGCTCCCCCCCCCCCCCCCAACACTGAGTAGCTAACAGCTACTTACAAAAACACCTTCTTACTGGGTTATAGCACCACCACATCAGAGTATCAAGTGACACTAAGGGGACACAGGCTGGCATTACAGCTGCACCAAACATACGCCACACACCGATGCATGGTTGCATAATACTGTATGAAAAGCGCCAACACTTTTATTGTCAATAAATCTGACACAGCAAACACACAAGGCACAATCCAGGAAAAATGATGTACATCCACTACATAAAAGGGTTCTTGTGTCCTCCTGAGCATCATGTGAATCCACTATAAATTTAAGTACGAGCCTTACAGACTTCCTCCAGAAAAGCTGGCGTCAGGGCTTGACAAAGCTAATTGTGTCTGATGATACTGGATGTGGGCTGCTCTTTAATATCAAGGCTCGCAGGGCCAGTGTATAATATCAGCAGCAACGGATTTTTGGATGTCTTGGACTTTACCTAAAAAGGGTACATACTGTATATCCTCTCCTAATAATCTCATCTCCTTGTGGAAGGCGGATGTCAGGCAGGTCAAGTTGTTCATGCTGTACAGTAGCTCTTTACTTTGCAATCACACAAGTGGTTTCTTTTGTCAGTCTGAATGTTCTGTGTTTGTACCAAACTGAACACTAAGTACCTTGTATAATGATGTGTTGAATAAAACAACAAAAAACCCTTGAAGGCAATTCAATTGGATTATGTGTATTCTGCACTAAGACACAACATGCTGCAGCAGTTCACCATGACCACTAAGCAGAATCAATTACATAAATCTATTCAGTTGAGCAAGAAATTCAGTTATCAAATAAATATATTTCCAGAATCAAATAATTACATTTAGAGTGAATAAATCACAAAAATTCTTCGAAAAACAGATTAATTGTGTTGATTATTAGCTTGATGGGTAATGACCCATTAGGAAGCTATATGCTTTTGTGAAAAGTGCTTGGTTACAAATGCAATGAAAATACAACAACAACAAAAATCTCTGAATAAGTAGCCGAGAGAGATATTTGATTATCACTTTGTCTCGAGTCAATAACAAACACTTTCATTGAAACCTCCCCCAGCGCAGGAGTGACAGGCCTGAGCTTGTTGTATGTGTGACTGGGATCCACTTTGTTTCCTGTTAATAAAGTTGTTTATATATGTTTGAAAACCACTTCCTAGGATTAATCACAAAGATGTATAAAAGTCAAAGAAGTGGTTTAACTTTGAGAAGGAAATCAAATTGTAGAATACACAAACAAGATAATTAAATAAACGGAGCGCTCGTGTATAAAGAAATTATCTGGGATTTTTAAGGTCTGTTTAATCCACATATACTTTATTTTGTTGGTTTCTTTCCTTATTAGTGTATACATTTAATGAGAAATGTACAATTAATCCATGTAAAAAGCTAGAAAAAAGGCATTTAAAAACGTATTTTTATCATTTGGTATGTTTAAATTGTATACGTTGAAAACTATTGAAATGAACTAAACTAAACGTTTGACTCTTACCACTTCATCTATGCGAAGTTATAAACATACACAAAGGTAGTTTGTTTTCTTTTATTGATGTACAGTAAGAGGACTGTTATGTCATGGATAACCCAATCTACATGACAAATTCCAAGACACTTTTATTTAATATACTGTACTGTACACATATTTCTGTTAACCCTCAGCTTATGTGTGCGTAATAGAGGTTAAAGTATGTAGACTATTAAAAACTTAACAAAGCAGTCCGGTTAAGTCACAGGAAAACAATCAGCCCTCTACCTTTGATAATTACAATTATCACATTTTCTCTAGAGCCGGGATAAAATAGCATAGAGGTCAGCCCTCTTTAAAGCCATTTTGACGTTTGTACACACAAAGCCGGTCAGAGCAACAATAAACAGTGAAACCAAAGTCACCGCAAGTCTGGACTTCAATTTCAAGCTTGTTATTCTAAATTAACAGCCTGCTTATATAATAAAACTCTCATTTGGGTTAGAGTAAATTATCCTCTGAGAATAAAAGTATTTTGAGTAAGGACCACACTGAAGACAGTAAAGAGAAAGTCAAATCTGCTTACCTTAATGAGAGGGTATGCTGACTGGGGATCATTGGTGTTGAGTCTCGTCCTGAGCAAAAATCGTCAAACCTTCCACCATGTGTGGTAACACCATAACTAGAACAGTTGAACACAGACTTGTGCGTAGCCACTGGTAAACTCTGGTGTTCGCTCGCTCTCAGGCACTCCCTCACACTCAGTCAGTGAGCGAGAGGACACTGTTAGTCAGAAGCAGCTGTGTTAAGGGAGATCCAAGAGACGACAGATAGAGACAGACGAGCGGCTGCCTTGTGCTGATGGTCTCTCCTCCTCTCTCTCACACGCTCTACTCTCTCTCTCTCTCTCTCTCTCTTTCTCACTCTCTCTTCCTCTCCCTTTCCTTTTCACTCTCTGCCTGCAGCTACCACTGTCTCCCCCAGTCTCTGTTGCTCTGCTCTCCCTCTCCACTAAAATCTCTTCCCTGTACACACATGCATCCTCTCCACTACACACCCCCTTCTCTCTCTCACACACACAAACCACTGTCAGTGTCAGCCTTTTACGTTTGTTTTTGTTCTTCACAAAGCATGCTGTCATTGTAGATAATGCCTTTCAAAGGGCTTTAATATCTCAATCAGTCTGTATTTTATGGTCTCTTTTTTCTTTTGTCCCATTTCTCTCACATTTAACATCAACCCCTGGACCTACTACTACTAGTCAAGCACTCTGATGACAGTGCTTCTCCCCCGGCACACCTAAGCAAACCCTTTAATATTTATTTTTAATGTACAATATGCACTATGTTCAGAGCACAGGAGAAAGACAGAGGCGTGGCTCTTAATAGGTAGCAAGACCAGAAAGATAACAGTGGCGAGTCAAAGTGAAAATTAGATGATACAAAATGGAAATCTAAAGTGGAGAGTTCTGCCAGGTGGGGTTAAGACTTGTGCACGGATCTGGCTTTGAAGTGCAAATTAAAGCTAACTGTAAGGGTTCATCTTTGCTAGTGCGCACAATTGCTACCAGCAAAGGCACTCTTGTGTTTGTGTGTACGCCCTTGCTCCCTAGTCTGTCAAAATGCAATTTATCAATGCATCTACTGGGAGTACCAAAACAGAAGAAAAAAACATTCAAATCAGAGTGACCTTAGAAATGTAATTTATATATGCTGTGTAATGAATATTATAGTACTTTTGCATTCATTCATGAATATATTTTAATGAAAATGTATGCCTTCATTTATTGAAGAGCTATGTAAGTGGCATAAATCAGATGGAGAGACAAAACAGGACGTGAGGCAAAGCTGCAGCATGTATGCATATTGTATAATCTTGATATTGTAAACATTACATATTCATACAGATAAAAGGTACTACATAAGTAGATTTACATTTTCATATATTTTAGTAACATTTAAAATCTACGTTATCATATTGTATCACATATAATATATAATCAGGTAGGTTAAAACTGACAATATATAATATCCTGTTTTTTGATATTGTTTTATTTTTCTATTTCTGCGTTGCCTTTGTAAAGCTTCATTCTGCTGCAGCGCAATCTTTGCAGTCTCCAATTTTACTAGGGACATAATAATAATAACATGGGATTTATTTAGCGCTTTTGGATTTTAAATAATTGGACAGCCTTCTGGGGAAAACCTGGTCTGATTAAGAGAGACGGCATTCATCCTACTTTGGAAGGTGCAAATCTCATTTCGGCAAACATTTCAGGGCTTTGTGGACGTAATCCATGACAAACTGGAGTTGAGACCAGGAGGCGGAGTCGCAGTCTTACACGCTTCTATGCGCTCTCTCCTAGGCAGTCATCCATAGGAATCCCGGACCCAATAAAATACCCAATATTAACGGTGTGTGTGTCTGCCCAAGGACAAGTTAAGGTAAAACCTAATAGAGGTGTCATACATAATAACCTAATAAAAGTAAATGTAACAACTACTACTGTGCAACAAAACAGGAATATTAAATGTGGTCTCTTAAACATAAGATCTCTAGCATCTAAAGCAATATTGGTAAATGATTTAATATCAGATTATAATATTGATATATGCTGTCTCACTGAAACTTGGTTGAGACATGAAGAATATGTCAGCATAAATGAGGCCACTCCACCCAGTCATCAATAGCCTACTCATATTGCCCGAGGCACGGGCCGAGGAGGTGGAGTTGCAGCAATCTTTGACTCAAGTTTACTTATCAATACTAAACCAAAATTAAATTATACCTCCTTTGAAAGTCTTGTTTTTAGTCTTACGCATCCGACCTGGAAAACTTTGCAGCCAATCTTATTTGTTACAGTGTACCGTGCTCCAGGTCCCTATTCAGAATTCTTATCAGAATTCTCTGAGTTTTTATCAACTTTGGTACTTAAAACAGATAAAGTAATTATCGTAGGTGACTTTAATATTCATGTTGACGATGATAACAATAGCCTTACTGTTGCATTTAACTCTATATTAGATTCTGTTGGTTTCTGTCAGAGTGTAAATAAACCAACCCACTGCTATAATAACACTCGACCTTGTTCTGACTTATGGTATTGAAATTGAGCAACTATTAGTCGAACCGCATAATCCTGCTTTATCCGACCATTTCTTAGTAACTTTTGAAGTACTGTTACTAGACTACAAAGCATTAGTCAAAACCTCCTGCAGCAGAAACCTATCTGTTAGTGCTATAGCCAAATTTAAGGAAGAGATTCCACCAATACTTAACTCGATAGCATGTCTGCATGTCAGGGAGGAAACGTATACAAAATGTACACCACCCCAAATTGATAATGTTGTTGATAGTGCTACAGATGTGTTGCGAATAAAATTAGACTGTTGCTCCTTTGAAAAAGAAGAAAATAAAACAACATAGACGAGCTCCATGGCATAATGCAGAAACCCGCAAAATAAAGCAAAAGTCGAGACAACTTGAAAGGATATGGCGTTCCACTAAACTTGAAGAATCTCGTTTAATTTGGCATATTACTCTCAATGAATATAAGAAAGCACTGCGTAAAGCGAGAGCAGCCTACTACTCTTCATTAATAGATGAGAATAAGAATAATGCAAGATTTCTTTTCAGCACTGTAGCCAGGCTGACAGAGAGCCATAGCTCAATTGAGCCTTCTATTCCCATAGCACTCAGTAGTAATGCTTTTATGTGCTTTTTTAACGATAAAATTGTTACTCTTAGAAACAAAATTAATGACCTCTTGCCTTTGACCAGTATAGTGTTATCAACAGCTCCCGGAAACGTAAGTTCTAATATTACACTAGATAGTAAACTAGAATGCTTTTCAGCCATAAACCTTGAACAATTAAATTCAATGATTCTCTCTTCTAAACCATCAACGTGTATGTTAGACCCGATTCCAACTAAGCTGTTAAAGGAAGTGTTTCCATTAATTAACACTTATTTATTAAATATTATGAATATGTCTTTATTATCAGGCTATGTTCCACAATCAAAGTAGCAGTGATAAAACCGTTTCTTAAAAAGCACAACCTCGATCCAGAGGTTTTAGCCAACTATAGACCTATTTCTAATCTTCCGTTCCTCTCAAAAATTCTTGAGAAAGCGGTCGCAAAACAGTTGTGTGATTACTTAAAAAACAATGATTTATTTGAAGATTTTCAGTCTGGCTTTAGAACACATCATAGCACAGAGACAGCTCTGGTTAAAGTCACAAATTACTTTCTAATAGCCTCAGACAAGGGACTTGTCTCTATTCTTGTTTTGCTCGATCTCAGTGCTGCATTTGATGCTATCGATCATGATATCTTATTGCAAAGACTAGAGCACTTAGTTGGCATACAGGGAACTGCTTTAGGCTGATTTAGGTCCTATCTATCTGAACGCTCTCAGTTTGTACGTGTCAACGATGAATCTTCCATGCAAACCAAAGTTAGCCATGGAGTGCGACAGGGCTCAGTGCTCGGACCTATTTAGTTCACATTATAATAATAATAATAAATGTTATTTCTATAGCACTTTTCTTGAACCCAAAGATGCTTTACATTTGGGAGGGAGGGTAGACAAACAAAACAAAAACAAAACAAAAAAGAAACAAAAAAACAAAACAAAACAGAAAAGCAGTCAGGAGGAAGTTGGTTGAGAGGGGAGGGGGGGCTTATGGATACAGAGTTGAAGAGGTGGGTTTTGAGGCGGGACTGGAACAGGGTGAGGGACTCAGACTCACGGAGGTCTTGGGGGAGGGAGTTCCAGAGCTTCGGGGCTGCCACAGAGAAGGCTCTATCCCCGAAGCTCCGGAGTTTGGCCTTGGGGATGGAAAGCAAACTGGCTGAGGTGGATCTGAGGGACCGGGGTGGTTGGTAGAGGATGAGGAGGTCAGTGAGGTAGTGGGGGGCCAGATGGTGGAGGGCTTTGTAAGTGAGGGCCAGGAGTTTGTAATGGATGCGGTGTGAAACAGGGAGCCAGTGGAGTTCTTTGAGGACTGGGGTGATGTGATGCCATGATGTGGTGTGGGTGAGGAGTCTGGCGGCTGCGTTCTGGACACGCTGGAGTCTATTGAGGGATGTAGTGCAGATGCCGTAGAGGAGTGAGTTGCAATAGTCAAGGCGGGAGGAGATGAAGGTGTGAATGAGTCGCTCAGCTGCAGGGCGGGTGAGAGAGGGACGGAGTTTGGCAATATTGCGGAGGTGGAAAAATGAGGTTTTTACAACTTGACGGATATGGGGCCCGAGGGAGAGGGTGGGGTCAAATATAACGCCAAGGTTGCGTGCCTGGGTGGAGGGGGAAACAGGGGTGCCATCAATTGTGACTGTCAGGTTGGGGTTTTTGCTGAGGGTGGATTTGGAGCCGATGAGGAGGAGTTCAGTTAATATTGCTGTTGAGTTTGAGGAAGTTGTGTTGCATCCAGGATTTTATTGCAGTCAGACAGGATTCGATGTGGGTGAGGGGGGGGGGGGGGGTTGTGGGGGGATTTGGTGCTGAGGTAAATCTGTGTGTCGTCAGCGTAACAGTGAAAGTCCAGGTTGTATTGGCGGAGAATCTGACCAAGGGGGAGGATGTAGATGATTAAAAGGAGGGGGCCGAGTACTGAACCTTGGGGAACACCTTGGGTGACTGAAGCTGTGGCAGAGGAGTGGTTGTTGAGGGAGATGAAGTGGGATCTGTCGGAGAGGTAGGACTGGAGCCACCTGAGTGCAGTACCTTCGATACCGATATCCTGGAGTCGGGTAAGCAGGATGGTGTGGCTCACGGAATCTAAGGCTGCACTCAGGTCGAGGAGGATGAGGATGTTGAGGGAACCGGTGTCAGCAGAGGTGAGGAGGTCATTGAGGACTTTGATGAGTGCCGTTTCTGTGCT